ACTTAATGCTCCCAGGGCGAATGAATCATTTTGCCATATAGACTATCAGCTTTTTTCCTTGAATTGGGACGGGGTCCCTTTCTCCGTTGTGAGTGACTTCGTCGGCCAGAGGCTAGACTCCTTGTGTTGACAGCTTGTGTTGTAGACGGCTCGATCCCTGTCTTATGCACTCTTATGCATGTGCACTAGTTAGAGGAGAGATTAGAGCCGCTTCGGCATTAGCTTTCATTCCAGATTGACATGCTATTTATCTATCAGCGTTGCCACAACTTTTAACTCGAGTGGCTCTTTGCGACTTGCAAAGCGTGCTTGAATTGGCTCCTTAAAGAGTTTGATCAGCGAGAATTCAACTAGCGAAGGATCCAAGTCTTAAAGCGAAGGCAGCTCGGGTCTTGACTCCGAATCCATGAAAGGGACTCAAAAAGATTTCATTCTTTTCTTACCTGACAGCTCTAAAAAACAAAATTTTGTTAGTGTGTAAAACCTTCTCTACTCTTTGATGGCGAAAGGCCCTGTGAGAGCCAAGATGAGTGCTGAGTCTTCTTCGAATACAACATAAAGGCCATAGATAGAAGAGAAGAAAAAGGTATCGGCAGCAGATAGAGGCAGGATGCAGGCCTTAGAAGAAAAGGTATATAGGGCATTGGGGTAGTTCCTTCACGCTATTGAGAGAAAAAATGCGAAAAAAGTTCCATACCTTAACGGAGAATTATGCACAGGATAAAGTAAAGTAGGAGTGGAGAAAGGAGAGAAAATAAAAAAGAATCTACACTCTATGGAAGAGAAGATTAACACATTGAAGAGTCAAATCACCAAGCTCCAAGAAGAACTAGCAGATCCTGAGAAAACAGCGATAGGAACTGACTCAAAGCTTTGATTCTCGGATGGCGGAGTAGGAAATCGATCGAAGAGGCTAATTGTGAGTAGGGAAATGGTATGCTTTCGCCGAATGTTTTATTTTCCTAAGTAATAGGAAGAATCCAACTCATCTAAGGTAGCTACGACGTATGCCATTCGGTTTCGAGGACTAGTTTTCTTACTTGAAAACAAAAAGATTTCAGCGAATGAGTATCGTACCTACTTATCACCTTAAGCCACGCCGAGAGAAGAAACCTAAAGCAGAACAAAATGATTGAGAGGCTTACACAAACCTTTGCGGTGCATAATGAAGGGTTTCATTTGCATATTGGCATAAAAGAATAAAATCCCTCCAAGAAAAATGAAACCAAGAAAATAAAAGAGCGTCATTTCCAGAGTTCAAAGGGATGCAGTGTAACGTAAAATTTGAAAAAGGTTGGGTTGGCTCATATGTCTCTAAACAAGACAACCAAATTCAGCAAATAAAAAATAGCTATTCATTTATGGACCACCTAACAAACAACAAACTAGCATCTTCCCTTTCCTCAAATAGTATTCAGGATATACTATGCTAGCTCCAGAGCTCATCCACTCAATAATAGCCATAACTCAAGAATTCAATTCGGAACTGCGTTCACTCAAGAAGAAAAATGAGTTTCTTTACCACTACTTAGATAGCTGATCGGTCGGCGTCCAAGCTAAAGAAGACAGTAACAGTATAGGTTAGGGCCTAACCCACTTTCTTGCCTCAGTTCTATCCTCTGCTTTAAGGGGCTCGTATGAAAAAGAAAGAGAGGGCCTACCTAGGAGTACCTGAGGTAATACCTGGGGAGGGACAACTTTCAAACGATATAGCGCGGAGATCCTTAGCTTGTTGTGCTCGAGGGGTGTTCAGTCTGCCGAAAAAAGGTCAAACTCATTTCGTATAGAGAGATTTGGGTTTGGATCGAAATGGAATCCCCAAAAATCGGGGCTGGAATATTAAACTAGTTTTCTTTCGATAAAGGACACCCATTGGGTGGAATCGAAAAATATATTCTATTAATCATTCGGCTGATTGTCTATCCTTCCTTCGTTTCATATGGTAGATGAACTACCTTTCATTGATTGGTAGATTGAATGAGATTGATTGATGGGTGTATTGAACAAGAAGCACAAGAGTCGGTATAGATAAATAGAAAAGTCTAGCTACCAGCCAGAGTGAATCCTAGTCAGTATTTACCAGCGATAGAATGGGACAGTCATCTGTCTAATGAGAAAATAGTGGTGTCAAGACATCTATATGACCAAGACCTTGTCGCGAGTTGGACTCGAACCAATACTTCTGGGAAAGGAAATTCACTACAATCCCAGCGAACTCTTGTTATTCTAATCGCTACTTTTGGTTACTCGGTTCCCCATGCAAGGTTCATCTAGTGTAGTGATTATGGACTCGTACAAGGATATTGAGTAGACGGTTGATGTATCAGACTCGACCCTATCTTTCATAGCATGCATTCCCATCCGTGTCATAACTGATTCGGTAAGCTACGTGTCCGATGTACGGAGAACTGCCTTCGGTCTCCAAAACTGACTTACTCATGGCAAGCTTCTAGCCGCCCAGTGACCTATAATGCTAGTCTCTACTTCCAATGGGGCTAGGAAGTAAGCCCCACAACCCAAAGCAGCGAAAAACAAATAGAATTTGCTACAAAAGCCGACTAACAGGGGTATTCCTGCGTATGAGAACATAGTAATGGAGAAAGTAATAGCCAAAATAGGATTCTATACATAGAAATTAGAATAATCTATAAATCTCTTTATTTTGAAAAATCTCATAAACAAGATCTAAGAATAACATTAGTTAATCGAACAAGATGGGGACCTCTAATATGTTCTCTCTCACACTCGATGAAAAGCACAATCCGCTTTCGGTGCCATTGAGAATGCTGTTTATAAGTAAGAGTTGTGTAAGAGACCTAACCTCCTTAGGTAGAATAATGGGACTTCTTCTGACTTTCCTATTGAGCTTCTGGAGGATTTGATATGGATATCACTTGCCCTAGAATAAGTAGTTTTCTAATAGAATAGGATAGGAATTCAAGGTCTTAGCATACGGAATTTTCGGTGCATAGGCCAACTCAAAATAGAAAGAGCCCTTACTTTAGTATTAGTAGGACGAGTCTTCACTCTCGCTCCTCAATCTATCAATTGAGCATCTCTCTTACTACCTCTATCGAATAAAGCATCGACTCTCACTGCCCGCACACTTTTGATCAAGCCATTGCTACTGCCCATAAATAGGAAAATCTTAATGTCAAGCTTGGACTGAACACTTTTAAGGGTTGTAAACTCCCAAACCCTAGCCAGAACACTATCATATTCCTTTGTCTTAGCATCTCAGTCCTAGATCAACAATAAGTCTTCTTCACTAGAGCTTGAATCCGTGATCGACCTATAATTCTAATAAGTCTTTTCTTTTCTGGCTTGAGTCCGCGTGATTTATCTATCTTATTATAAGCACCGAATCCCTACTTCTTCTTGCTAGAAAATGGATAAAGACTACTTCTTGGACTGTGGCCGACACTAGAGAAGACTAAATAGAGATTTGTTAAGCAAACGAGCCTGAAAGCGCTTCTCCTTGCTTGATCTAAGTCTTATACATTAATTAAGCAGCCTGACATATATGCTCATCTTCCCTCACTTTATTACACCGATTACTACAGGTGAAGCGAAGGACATCGATTATCTATAACGAATATTCAACATAGGCCTTCTACTGCGCCATCTCTTAGCTTTTCTCCCCCTCTATTGCTGGTAAGAAAGGAGACTAGGACTTCCAAAAACTAAAGAAAGAGCAGAATCTCCTTCGATTGCTGCTTTTGGGACTATTTACTAGATTTATATAGCTATAACACTCTAACTAACTGACAAAGCGTCTGTTCACGAGGGTTGTAGTTTTTTTTGGAGATTGGGTTGGTGTTTAGTGTACCGAGCACAAGATCGAAAAGAATACGAGGCATTCTAAGTGAGATGTCCAAGATAAAAGAAATAATGGGAAGAATCAATGAGGAATCTAGAACATAAAATCGTGAATGAAAAAGCGTGAGGAGAATTCTCAACTCGAGATGTTAGAAGGTGCAAAATCAATTGGTGCCGAAGCTGCTACAATTGCTTCAGCGGGAGCTACTGTCGGTATTGGAAACGTCCTTAGTTCCTCGATTCATTCCGTGGCATGAAATCCATCATTGGCTAAACAATTATTTGGTTATGCCATTTAAGGCAATTGCCTTGTTTGCATTAATGATGGCCTTTTTGATCTCATCCGTATTCTGATCGAAGAAAGGAAGGCAAGGAGGCTACTCCCTGAAAATGCCTCGCCCATAGGATCCTTTGTCGTTGGGGCTTACAATTCACCTTGTGACTCATTCTTTCGGTCGAGCATTCTTCAGGCATCGATCGATCTATCACTCAATCACAGGTCGCTCTGTCATTGTCTTTTTTCGGTATGCCGTCCACGAGCAAGGAACGAAAGTTTTTCTGATCACACTCCAATATATCTACTTATCGTATTTATTGGTAGTTTCGTAGCATATTTTTTCAGACGTTTTCTAGGAGTAGGAGGAATCGCTATAATGACCACAGGTCAGAATATTGTGTTTTTTGCAATACTGATTTTAGGCTTAATCTTCATCTTTTGTCATTATTGTTTTTGTTTGAAAAAGTTGTATGGCTTTCGACTTGTCTTTCTTATATATATATATATATATATATATCAGAATATCGTGCTTTTTGCAATACTGATTTTAGGCTTAATCTTTCTCTTTCGTCGTTATTGTTTTCGTTTGAAAAAGCTGTACGGCTTTCGACTTGTCTTTATTATATATATATCCATTCTATTGTGTTGCTCTTTCTTGTCCTATTTTATCCGCCTTTACTTACTTTCCCGCTTAGGCTTAGGTATGAATTTTGTTTATCCTTTTTTGATTTTGACTATGGTGGAAGCACTTCCGGCTCCTTCCGACCCATCAAGCTCAGCCAGGTGGACGAACTTCGATGAGGAGGGTCTTATTAGAGCCTTTGTCCAAAACAAAAATGGAAGGCCCGTTGGTGAATTCTTCGATCTTTGGGGTGGCGCGCAATGAGGCCCCAGATGTAGTACAAAACTCTAGCTTGGAATCATCAATGTGCAATCGCATTTTCCAACTAGAGCGTGACAATAGCTTTTTTCTTCTTGATAAAAGCAGACAATATTGGAGCAAAATTAAAACGGTCCTGGATCAAGCTCCCTCTCAGAGGGAGTATAACCGATTACTCGAGTTTAAGAATCGAGATCTCCAGATCTGGGAGATGAAACATTAGGCTTTTTCTCTTTTTCGAGAAGTGCTTTCTGAGCATCCTTCCTTGGCCGAAAAGGCCTACTACAATCCGCAAGAAGCCTTTATCGACTTCTTTGACGAGATGTGAGAAGAAATAGAAATCGAACTCCAATCTGCGGACGCAGACCGAAGCGAAATTGTTATATTAAATAAAATAGTAGATGATATCAGCAAAAAAGGTCCTACTATATTAAAAAAATCTTGGGCCATTTTGATAAAGATGTCGATTTCTAATTTTATAGTTATAGTTGTCTTTTTGAAACAGACAGTTCACAGTGCTTATTCTATATATACTTGAAAATCCAACTCATGAATCTACTCTATTTTCATTACGAAGATGTATTGAGTCAGGATCCGTTGCTCAAATCGAATCAAACCAATGTTATGGAAGTTCCTACACTGTGTAAGATAAGAGTAGGACCAAAGGCATCACCTTCTATCAAAAATGGAAAATTGGCTATGGAGATTCCTCGCGGTTAGAAATTAATACAGCCGTTTTCAACAGAAAAGTCTTTTGGATCCAATCCATTCTTGGAGTCAAATAAAAAAGGATATGTCAGCGACTTAGCACAACAAAGCACTCTCTGAGGACATGGAATGTCTAATTTCTTGGTCATAATCTCCACAGTAATGTCTCTGTTAGATTCTTCGATTGAAATACGAGAAAACCCCGTTCAATTCTCGATGGAAACGGAGTTTTGCGAATTCTCCCCAGAATTGGAAGATCATTTCGAGAGCTTCGAACATATTCGAGGGTTCAATGTGACTATTGTCACTTCGGCCAACACACAAGATGAGATTTTACCACTGTGGAGCGGCTTTTTGCAAAAAGATGAGAAGAAAACTCAGTAAGATGTCGGAGAAGCGAAATATACGCGATCACAAACGTAGATTGCTCGTGGCTAAATATGAATTGAGATGAAAGCTTTATAAAGCCTTTTGTAAAGATCTCGATCTTCCTAGTGATATGAGAATGGCAGACCAGACCAGCGACCAGTGAAGCTACTGGAGAAGTGTTTGAGAAAGAAGGTATCCATTGATGCACCTTTAGTTTAGCATCCACTTTTGTGCTCTGACGGCTCAGCACGAAGGTGCTTACGAGATGCTACTCGAAAAACATTAGCTACACGCCGCCAGAGTTGGGAAGGATTGGGCGTCAAGCACACAATCGATGAAGTAGATACAGCCCAGGGTTACCCTGCACTTGCAAGACGGATCGAAGGATGAAGTCGAGACGTCAAGTTAAGATTCCACAACGGAGATGAAGACCATCAGACACCGATTCTGAGGATTCGAGAATAGTCCAAAAGAGAGATTGAGTCATCTGGTTGGAACACAACTTGGGAGACCTTTCTTGATGAGTAGCTCTACAAGTGTATGATAAAGACTATGTAAAGACTATGAAGCGCTAGAAGAACACTGATGGCAGGACATTGATAGTTGATGATGGTAGACCTAGGGAGGAGCACTTTAAGGCATGCCCTAGCATTACCAGTATCTAGTATTTAGACAAGTAATTATTGGAGTCGGCGTATGAGGCACAAAAGGACAGATGGCATTACCAAGAACTGGAGATGGTACGACTGAACCTCAACACGGTACGGCACGGAGGAGGTGTTGAAGATGATCACAATCATGGCCGAGTTGCTTTCAATGGGCCATATCATACACAATTTTTTATTTGTATTCGAGATACTGCCGTACCTATTTCTATACATCCGTCCATGTACAGAACAATCCTCCTTTTGTTTGGAGGTACGGTAGGACTTACTTATATCTAATGCTTCCGCTCCATAAGGTATTTATCTCCTATCTAACTAATGACTTTTCGAGCTAATGAGTTCTGAGTTTTCCTCTTTGGATTAGTAGACCCACCTTATAGTGCTCTCGGGTGGGTCGATAACTCCTTCGCTATAAATAGCTCGCTACCTGGGTTCGCCTTTTGTAATAAGTAGCACTTGACTTCCTTTTCTCCTCCCCGGAATAAGGTAAAGGCCATGAAGCCCTTCCTTTAGCTCGATCAATAGAGATAGATGCCCTTCTTCGAGCTTCTCCGCCCGAGGCTATTGATTTTATATAGCTAGCTGTCCCTTGCACCTCCTTAATCAAGGTATCTTTACCTCATAGCTAGAACTGAGATGTCCTTCTTTCTTATAGTACTTTACTCGGGATAGAAGAAGATAGAGATGGAATTTACCTACCCTTATAGATCGGCCTTATGGGCCGGTAGGGAGGGTGGTTATCTCCTACACATTGGAAGTTTTTCAAGTGGTTCAATCCAAATACATACATGAAGTTCAAAGCTTTGGCAGAACAGTTCCACTTGTTGCTCGCTGAAGCTTGTTTTCTCCGCCAGCTCTATCTTATGTAGTGTGGTGGCTTACTAACCGAACTAAATGGAAGAAAGGGAACACAACTGCCATGAGGGAAAAGCTGGAAATTAAAAACCTAGTTCTAAGGTGAGCATATATCTACCTTTACTATCCTTGAAATTCCAAAAAGGAAGAACACCTCCTAAACGATTTGACTCTGGCAGGTTAAATGGTATCGGTGGGGTACGTGGTCTATGATCTATACCGTTGATAAGGTTAAGATCGCCTATGACATGGCGAGTAGGGAAATGAAGCTCACGAGCCTCTTTGGTCGAACTTTTGACTTGGGAGGTCGGGTAACTAGACAGAGAGGGGCGAGCACTAATTTTTAGACACCCCGGCGATCCTCCACGAATGATGAGACATGTCTACGAGATTTGGGATGGGCCAGAACTAAATGAGTGGATGGCTAGAAGAGATCTCCCTCCCCTTAAGCTTTTGAGTTATGATGAGTTCAAGCTCCATTTCTTAATGGGTCGTCTGTGACAGCGGGTCGAGTTACCAACCTCAAGAGTTGAGACCGAGGGCTCCAATGTCGATGAAGCTGAGAGTTCTAGGGCTGCTGAGGAAAGAGTGAGGCATGTCCCCCCCAACTTCCCTAGATGGACAGTACCAATACCTAAACATGGGGACAAGATAGTGTATGAGACATTTGAGAACGTTAGTGATGAGAATATCTAGGGATTATCCCTTTTCTCCAAGAGAATGGGTATGAACCTCCACTCATAAATACTTTCTGTTTTAATACCATGGCTATCTCATTTCTTGTTACTCCCTCACAGTTCCACATGTCGGTGATGGAAGAGGCAGTACGCCTGATCGTGGCAACTAAGAACAGATGCTACGAACTCAGGTCTAAGTTGTTAGAGTTCAATAAGGTCAAGTTCTCGGGCTAGGAAGAAGACTACAAAGGTAGCTGCTATTCCCAGCACAGCTACCATAGAAAAGAAAGCCAAGTGGGTGCCGTTGAGATCCGTCTTCCTGATCAGAAGAATTTGGGCAGAACCTCTCTCAGAAGACCCCTTCCAACGATCGTCGTCTTCCGCAAAGCAATGCTCGAGTTCCTTATGAAACTATTATGGGGGCATAACGAATCAAAGGCCAGATTCTCCTCTTCTACCCATATCCATAAGTGAACTCATGCCTCAAACAAAGAAAAGAGATTCTCACGTTCCCAAGGAAAGGGTTACCTACCATAAAGTAGGGACAAAAATCTCCACTTGGAGTTCCATCGACATCACACATGGGATGGACTCTAACTTATTTTGTTCAAAGACTTCTTCTGACGCTTTCTGGGATTCGAACAATGGTCGCACCCCGTCCTTTCTTTCTCTCGGTCCAGTAGCGAGTAATAATCACAATTCAGTTCCGTAAGTGAAGGTCAGTTTCAGTTCTGTACTTTTGGTCTACTCGTAGATCAAAGAGTTAGTTTAGTTCAAGTAGATCATAGTGAAAAAGTGCCCCTTCACCTAAGCTAAGATAGGGGAAAGTTTCAAGCACAGCCAAAGAGAAGTCCAAGCCTTGACAAGCATACGAAAAGGTCAAGTTTTTATTAGCCATTCTTTTCCTTAGCCCTATAAACGTGTACTAACTACCTAAAGTGCTCGCTAGCCGTAACGGAAGGAGTTGATTGATCAAAGTCACTAGCCCTACGTTCAAAGTCGACTACCTTCAACCTCAAAGCGTTGACTTTCTCCTATCTGAGATGCTTACTCGTAACTATCAGTCACTTTTTTGCTGGAAGAAGAAAAGAAAGAATGATATCTTCTCTTTCTCTGAGACGACTTCAAAGTCAAGTGAGAACCAACCACTAAGATGTCAAATTCCGAAGTGAAAAGTAAATGTTCTTTGACTAACTGCCTATCTCGAAAAGAGGTTGTGTTCCTTCTCTTTGCCTTTTGTTTGTTGCTTTCACAATGGCTAAGTTTGAATCTTGTTTAAGCGATTTTTCTCTGCTCTTCTAACGCAACTAAACGGTACGAGCGGAAAGAGCTCTATCTCGGTTCTCTTCCCTGATCGCGGGCTAGCGCTCTCTTATCTGCTTTGTCTATCGAGTTGTCATAGTGAAGGAAAATAAAGCTAAATGGAAGACAGAGAGAAGAAACCAGGAGCCAGCACTACTTCTATTCCCAACTGTCGAATTTTCCTCCCTATCCCCTTTCAGTCGAGCTCTTGTAAAACCTTAGCCGTCACCCGCACTTGACTTGGAAGAGCCAACCACACTCGAAAGAGGAACCTTTTAATGTAGTCTTAGGAACGAGATTGAATTGTATGCTCGCCTTTTGACTACAATTATCTAAACTTAAACCGACAGCGAGCAAGCATACGCATAGCAGCACATAGCACACCAAAAGGCTACATACGCGAGGCTAGATGCGAATGAGAGCGGTGTGTGAAGGAATGACTATTCAACTGATTGTGTAGATAGATAGAGAGGCGAGAGAGAGTATGAGGTCGGTACTCAAAGGAAGCAGCCCTTGGAAGAGAGTCTGGAGATGCCAAGAAGGGCGTAAGGATCAAACAAAAGGCAAAGTGCCATAAGGTCTATGATGTGGATAGATCGAGCTCAGAGTCAGACATCTCGGAACTACCTAATCCCATAGGCACTGACTTAGAAGGATAAGGAGCATAGGTATGGCATTCCTTTATTGTAATTGAGTTCGGTGCACTAGGCACACTGCTCATCCGCCATCTGGAGGTACCAAATCAGTGCTATCATCTACAGAGAAGTTATCTTGCTTTATTAAGAGCAGGAAAATGAGACTAGAAGTTCCGAAGAAGTAAATAGCATAGAACTCAAAGCTAAAATTGCAGAGATGCTGCCTCGGGTTTGTGATCTGGTAGTTCTGGTGGAGCTTACCACGGTCGTTAAAGCTCTAGCGAAGCATGAGGATTTTAATTAACACAAGCTTGGCTGCCGACAAAGAGTTGAGTGATTGCCTAGTACAACTTGGTGGTGGACTCTAAAAAGGTGCTCCATAACAGAATGCTGGCTCCAGAGGCAGAGTCTCTACTGGCTAATGTGGAAAGGCTCTCTGCTGAGCAAGCGTCCTGGTGTCAGAATATATAAGAAGAGTTGAGGTTCGAAGCAGCCGAGATCACTAAACTAAAGAGATGCGAGAGCTAGAGGGTCGGCTTCGGTACATCAATCAATCACTGGAGAAACTCCTGCAGTGCGCTTCTTTTCGACCAAGCACTGAGTTTAAGAATAATTGTAAGTCACTAGCTACCTAAGGAAATGAAAAAACTAATCGATTTATTTGCCCAGAAGCAGCATTTCGCATGCATCATATTGGTCTTCCTTCAGATGGTTAAGTAAGGCGATGAAATGTCAAGGGTCCGAAGGAGATTGTTGGTTCGATGTTTAGCTCTTCCTGTCGCATCCTATTTTATTTATGATATAACAAAGACTATAAACTCTAGCTCTATAATCCACTAGCTACTAGAATCTTGTTGGACCTTTAAGCACTCTTTCTCTTATAAAACTCATATCGGCTAATCGGACATTGAGGAATACTATAGGACAGGTTCGACAAGCTCGTACAAGCCCGATACGATCAAGGGTGGAAGTATACAAGCTGAGCAGAGAAGC